AGAGAATTTTTACTCCTATCAAATCTCAAATCTCAAATAAATTGGATACTCCCTTTTGGGGTGGGGGGAGGGATCTGCAGTCCAGACCTAATTTCACACAATAATCGTAAATTGAAGTCAAAAGACTGAAAGTCCGAATTTGATGTTTGTAACATAAGTACATATTAATGCTCCTCATTACCACAATTAAGATGCTACCATGTAAACTTTCACCATGTGAGCAACATACTAATGACCAGCAGCAGTTTTCTGGGTTGTTCAACAACACAGAAAATATAAGGGGCTTCAAAAAGTTCATTGAAATTTTTCATTATCTTTTTAAGTCCATTTTCCCATGAAGCTTCCTTCTAATTGGAAGAATGACAGCTCAGATTAGAGATATCTAGAAATGTGTTGTTCCTCTTACAGGATCATTATGAATAAGATTATCTTTCATTTTAATCTAAAGGCAAGGCATTGGACTATGGCCATAGTTTTCCATTTAAACGATCAGAATTAATTATTTTGGTTTCCACTTCTCAATAGTTACTCTAAGTAGCAAACAAAGTCTAACACAGCTTGGACTTCTAAGCTACCTGCTATTCTTCTGAGCGTAGGATGGAAGAGCTGAATAAGAGTTATGAGACACTGCATGCCATTTTGTGTGAAATCTAAGTAGTTAGAAATCCTTGATTTTATTTGATTTAGAGAAATAAGGATGAATCACATGACCTTTTCCAACAATCATGAAATGCAATTTAATTTGTATCTGAAAGAAGTGAACGAATAAACAACAGCTCTTTCTCAAACTAAATAAAACATTTAGTATAAAACATTTAGCATAAAACATGTTGCTATCCAATTGGAATATAGTCTTTGATACATTTCAACAGCTGAAATTGTCAATGCCACCTATTGGTAAAAAAGTAAAATTACAAATATATTTTACAGATTTGCATAATAGAAAAGACGGGGGAAGTAATATTTTATTGTTGCTGTGTGTGTTGCGATTACTTCAAGCTGAAATGTTTTCAAATATGTTATTTCTGTTGACTTACTTGTCTGTGTTTTAGGAGTAAAACACTACCATTAAAATTTGTCACCACACAAATTAATTGGAAGAGTGAGAGCATGTTAGTGTAACAGTGACTTTCACATCTTAATATTTGCTTTAGGACGACAAAGAACTCCAGTGGTCTCCAAGGTTTCAAATATTCAGCAGACTAATCAGTCATGACACAAGTTCTAACATCTGAAATAATATTAATGAGCAACAGAATGTTTTTGGCTAATTAGATTCCAGCATTTGTGGAATACTGCTAATTTCGATCTTTTTAATATATAAAAAATAGGTTCGTTAGTAACATGTTTCAGCACAAGTACTTGACAAAGAAGTTTAGGACAAAACACAATTTTCTGCTTTGGAACTCTTCCAGTTCTATATTGTTGCTGTTGTTAAGTGCCATCAAGTCAGTTCTGACTCATAGCGGCCCTGTATAGGGTTTCTGAGGCTGTACATCTTTGTGGGAGCAGAAAGCCTAAGCTTTCCCCCGTGCAGAGCGGTTAGTGGGTGCGAACTGCCAACCCTGTGGTTCACAGTCTAGTGCTTTTCCCACAGAGTCACCGTATTCCCCAATTATATACAGTCATATGTTTTTGTTATTGTTAAGTTCCATCAAGTTACTTCTGACTCACAGTGACCCTGTGATCTTATATTAGAGAAGATCAAACATTTAAAAGGAAAAAAGTAAAAACCCCAATTTATATATTTACTCATTTCTCTATTTCAGAAGCTTAAATATTCTGCATTGCACAATTTTTATTTATACTTATAATACTAGAGGGATATAATAAAGAAAATAGCTCATAATCATTAAAGAACATATTTTCATTTATGAAAAATTTGATACTAATGTTAAGTCTTAACTGGCTCATATGTTTTAGATGATTTTAACACACTAGGCTGATACTGTAAGCTTACTTATGAACTAATACTGCTTATAAAGATATTTCATTAAATAATTCTAGTGAGTATATGTCCCTATATATAACGGGCATTTATAAATCATACCACACTAAATACATTGGTTTTATATTCCCAAATGGCAGCCTGATGTAAAACCATAATTTGTTGCCATCAAGATTTTATTTCATATGAATGCACACTAAACTATGCCAACCTTTAAGGATATTTAAGTAGTTGCACATATTTATAGAGATTAGCACTATTAGTTTTATACGCTAATATAATTAAAAGGTAAGGAACATGGTATAAAGAAAATCACATAAAACCAGTGGGTACAGATATAATTCATAAAGGGATATTTTACATTACTAGATGAATACATAATCATTGCACATAAGCATAATTACTTCTTTGCTGATTACTTTACAGTGCACTGGAACGAATATTTCATAAAATAGCATTTGCTACCTAAGAAATAGAGCATTTCCTAGCACCTACAAAATGGGATATCTTTTATTGGTCTTACAATGATCTGATGGTTCCACTTGTATTTTAAAATGAGCAATCGTGGTTCTAGGGCATTAAGTCTTAAGTAAATGGCAAAGATTTTGCTTAGAAGGGGGTTGTTATAAATTTGATTCTGGGGGTCAATATATCAGTCCAGACTATGAAATAACATAACCACTTTTAAAAGCTCTTCAGAAATGTACCTGAGAGAACACTAGACAGCTTGACTATAAAGAAAACACAACTTATATGGTTAGCCATTTGTTTGACATAATATAAATGGAAAAATTACTGTTGCGGAAAAACAGAACTACTATTTTACCATCTTACAATGAGAGTTTTGATCAACTACACCAACACACTGACATTCTAAACATTTGGAAGTCTGTATATAGAAAGACAAAAAGACCAGGAATACGGCAGTCCCTAGTGCTAATAGTCTGGTGTGGTGCTATAGGAGAAGCATTCACGTCTCAAAAAACATCTGTTGTGTAAAGTCACAGATCTTATACCATTCCATGTTTTAGAAATAAGGAATAATATAGAGATTGGGAATATCAAACTAAACTTTGAAACAATCTGAAATAAAAGATTCACTAAAAGAAACTTTAAAAAATATATATTTATGGCAAAGTATATTGCATATAAAATTGCTCACATTTAGATACAATTTAAACTAAAAATTCAGTTTGCATTTTTTATCACAAATTGAAGATTTTGTATTTAGGTGCCTCTTCCCCAAAAGAACTAGTCTGCTACCTTAAAAAATACAAGTGATTGAGAAAACAAGGCTGTTAAAAAAAAAAAAAAAAAAAAAGCAAAACAAATGTAGAACTAATCAAGTATTCTCATAAAGGCAAAGTAAAGGAAGAGAATTTTTACTCCTATCAAATCTCAAATCTCAAGTTCAGTTAGAAAATAATGATGTGAATCTTCAAGCATCCAATCCCATAAGAAGTGAAGAGATTCTTCATCTTACCCATAGGTCTGTTTCTGTCCCTGAGGTCCCTGTGGCTGGGGTGTCGATAAGAGTCCCTGTAGTGGTGGGCAATGGCCATATCATCCAAACGGTAATGTTGAGGTGGAGGTGGGGTGGGGTGAGGCAGGCCATTGGGCTGGTAGGATAAGCCATTATTTGGACTGTACCGCTGGCCTGGGCTAATAGTGCATGGTCGCTTGCTTGGATGTTCTGAGTGCAAAGGCTCTCTGTCAAAGCCATTTTCTTTGGTTCTGAGGGGAAAAAAAATAGAGACTGTTTCATAATGTACTCAGCAACCATAAGCTTGTAATAGCAACAGACAATTCCTTTATTGGTCATAAACTTTCTAACCTTGGCTTCCCATAAAACCTATGGAAGTTCACAGGAACCCATGCTAAGGCCTAAATGATCGCAAGGAGAAAGTGTTTCACTTTCATCAAATTAGCAAGCATCTTTTCAGTTAAAGCTCTTGTGGTCAGATCACAAATAAAAAGAAATCCAAGCATCCTCTGAAGATTACATTTTACTCAAAAGACAGTACCTGATTTCTAACAGTTGTAGGTAAAGCATCATTACTCCCTTGATGAATATTCAAGAGACACCTATTCCATTTACCCAACTTGGAATCTGAATTTCATGTTCTGGAAAATCTAAAAGCTGTACTATCCAATACAGTAGCTGCCTGTATTGGATAACACAGTTTGTAGGTGTTAAAAGCCACCTCTTAAATAAATTTCATTTACTTGTTAATAAAATTTAAATGAAATGAAATTAAAAATTCAGTTCTTCAGAAACAGTAGCCACATCTTGGATTCTCAGTAGCCAGCTGTGGGATTATGGTATGGATGGTGCACACAGAAAACAATCTCATCCTTTCACAAAGTTCTATTAAGAAGTGCTAATCAAACTGAGCTAATACAATAAAGCAATGGCAATGTATGGGGCCTCAAAATTATTGTGAGTCAACAATATAATCAATTGGTTGGGGTATACAGCTAGTAAGGTCAACTTCCTTACTTAAAAATTTGAGAAAAAGCATACCCAGAGTGACATGTGTGACATGTCTGGGTCATCAGGGCACATGGCAGGACTGGCACATCCAGACTATACTACATCATGTGAAGTACAGAAATATGAATGAATTTAACTTTCAGAGGGAATGTGCTCTACAAATGAAATCTAATACCTAATCATAACCCTAGATTCTCAAACAAAATAAGGATTTCCTGGCCAAATATCTCTCTCATGACTTAAAGGCAATAATTATTATATTCAGTAAGATAGAAACAAAATCAGCCCCAAGTGTCACTAGAATCAGCCCCCAAGCTAATTATTTGTTCAGTAGCTGATTCTCCTTAGAATATCAGCAGGCTAGCCTCATCCCAATGATGTCTGTTTCTTCAAGGAAATCCCTCAGAAGTCACAACAGCTGCAGATTTTAGCATTCCCTTATGTTACCAAGTTTGTGAAACAGTAGCACAGAGACCCCTTAAGTAAACTTTTCCATTTTCTAACATCCCATTGTCTCTGTTTGGAGTGAGTGTGAGTGGAAGCTGAATTGACAACAATGGTCATCAAGGGCAATGAGATTCTTCAATGAACTATCTTTCTGTCCTTTTAGGGTTGATGTCCATTGACAATTTAAACACACTTAACTGGAGTTCTGGTGTGGTGCTGTGGGTTAATGCACCAGACTGCAAAGCCATCTGAATTGCAAGGTCGGCAGTTCAAGCTCACCAGCTGCTCCTCGGAAACACTATAGGGGTCGCTATGGGTCGGAATCGACTTGACAGCACTTAACAACAACAACAACTGAAGAGAAGGAAGGACATAGAGATAGAAGCTAGCAGCACACAAAGAAACAACTGAGAGAAAGTCTAACCAGTTAGATCTGAAACGAAACAAACCAGTCAGAGCGATTTGACTCATGGCAACCCCCAAGTTTGCAAAATAGAAACAGGCTCCATAGAGTTTCCATGGATCTGACCTTTTCCTGAACAGATCACCACGTCTTTCTTGTGAGGAGCCTTTGGGTAGGTTTGAAATGACAATCTTTCAGTTAGTAACCCAGAACGTAACCCAAATGCATGGCCCCACATGCTAAAGAATGATACAATTTATTGGAGACAGGAGATATATTGGAAATGACAGCAGAGTGTGGCCTCGATGGGAGTTGGCCAAAAGTCTCAATGCTGCTCCCAAAAGTGTCTGTACTAAAAGATACTGACTCCATACATATTGATCACTAATATAAGACTAAAATGTCCAATGTAGCGCAAACATTACCTAAATGCACTGCCTTAAAATAATTCAAAAAAGTGAAAGAAAACATTGTAGATATTGATTCACCATTTGAGAGTGTATCTATGTGCTTCTAAACTACATTTTCATATCCTATACAAATGACGTATTGCATAGGCAAATCTGCTGCACAAGACCTTTTTAAAGTGTTAAAGAGCAAAGATGTCTTCTTGAGGACTAAGGTGCACCTTACCCAAGCCATGGTGTTTTCAATAACCTAATATGAATGTGAAAGCTGGACAGTGAATACAGAAGACTGTAAAAGAATCGATGCTTTTGAGTAATGGTGTTGGAGGAGAATATTGAAAGTGCCATGGGCTGCCAAAAGAACCAATACATCCATTTTGGAAGAAGTGCAGCCAGAGTGCTCCTTGGAGGCCAAGATGACCAAACTTCGTCTCTCATACTTCAGATATATTGTCAGGAGGGATCAATTACTGGAGAAGGATATCATGTTTGGTAGGGTGGAGGGTCAGAGAAAAAGAGGAAGACCCCCAGTGAGATGGATTGGCCAAGTGGCAGCATCAATGGACTCAAGTGCGGCAACTCAAGTGGCCCAGGATCGGGCAGTGTTTCGTTATACTGTGCCATGGGTCGGTACCGACTCAATGGCACCCACAACAACAACAGCAATACATTTCTAAATGATACTCTTCAACCTCCAGTATATATTACTAGCATATATCAGATGGAGAATACTGAAGACTTAATAGCTATGAACTTAATGCTAACACAGCACCTACCTTACTGGTGTAGTGAAAGAGCACTGGACTGGAGATCAAGAGACATGAGATCTAGTCCTGGCTCTTCCACGACTAGCTGTGTGACCTTGGCAAGCCACTTAACCTCTCTGGACCTCAGTTTGCTCATCTGTAAAATGAAAGGGTTGGACTAGATCAGTGGTTTTCAAATTGTGCCACCTGAGGTGTTTCAGGAATTCTGAAGGCAATGAAGAGTTTTTTTCTCTCTCCAATCAAGATCTAAAGGGCCACAGTAACCCACTTCATACTTTTTCAGCTATTTCACAAGTTGGGGGTTCCACAAAGAAATTCATTTTTAAAGGAAAAAGTTTGTTGCTAAAATCAAGTTTGAAAACCACTGGACTAGCTGATTCCGAGGTCCCTTTCTAGGTGGAAAACTGCAGTTTAATTATTCTACCTAAATTTCATGGTTATATAGATTAAAATACATAGGGCTGATGGTCCTCTGGCCAAATCATAATTCTCAAGTAAAGCACTGTAGCCAACTTCTCTGCTTTTTGCTTTGAACAATTGATCATTTAGCTCATTTTTCCTGCAAAAATAGAAAAATATACTCTGCAGGTGTTACAGCAGCCCCGGCAGCATTTCTATATATCTTTGGCCTCATTGTGCAAGACCATCACCACTTACTGTTTTTGTGTCTTCTCATTCAATGACAGCAATAATAGCATACATTTGAACAATTTCTATAGTTTTCAAAGTATTCAGATATATGATTTATTTTGATCTTTAGAACAGTCCTCTCATCAGTGGTATTATTTCAATTATGTATTATTAGGGGAAAATAAATGTTCTTTTTCTCTAAACCAAGAGCAGTAATGTCATTACGGACAGGGCTAGGTCCTGAGTCTGTCTCCTTCCCTCCTTCAGGGACCCTGCTGTCCTATCCTGGTCCCATATCCCTGTAAACTACTGAAGAAAGTAAGTTCATCAGTGCATTTTCTAACACTGGACACATTAAAACATTCATGGAAATGAAGCTATGATGGGCCCCTGGCGCTTCCACCCACTCATCTACTTGTAAGTCCAACCTTACTCAAAGGACGCATGTCCAGAATGGTAACTATAACAATTTCATTGCTTTTTGTCCATTTGCTTCATAGAAATGCCTGTAACTATCTACCTCTCTTTTGCCTGGGTAAATCCCAAATTTGCATTTTTATTTGTTGCCCTTTCAAAATGGATTAGGCAAAACTAAAAAACACTTTGGTGTCCATTTCAGCAATATTCGTAAAATAGCTCCAATTCTAGTGGAAAGATCTGCATAGATTACTGGAGAGCATTTGTTTTGTATTTTTGAATCAACCTAAGGGTACTCAGACTCAACAGCTGCTCCTAGGAAACCCTACACAGGGTCACTATGAGTTGGAACCAGTTTGACAGCACCAAATAACAACAAGAGTAGAATCTCCCTGTAGGAGACATTTTCCTGAACCACTTCAACTGGTAGATTCTGATCCCTTCTCTCTCAGTCTGGTGCTCGGAAGTTTTTTAACTTTTCTGCCCATTCAAAACGGACTAACAGGAAAGAAGGTTTGCCAAAAAGCTTAAGTTGTTGTTGTTGTTGTTAAGTGCTGTCGAGTCTGTTCCGGCCCATAGCGACCCTGTACAGGGTTTCCGAGGGTGTAAATCCTTATGGGAGTAGAAAGCCTCATCTTTCTCCCGCGGAGCGGCTGGTAGTTTTGAACCGCTGACCTTAAGGTTCGCAGCCCGATTCGTAACCTAATTTATGCGTTTGCTTCACACCTCAAGCTACTTTCCCCAGTTCCAAATAACAAAAGTTCCAAATTATTTGAGAAAGAAAACAAACATTTTAAAAAACTTTCATCTATATGAAATATTTTAAAAGTCATAATTCACTAGGGTACATTGATAATCCCTCACCAACATTTATATAAAACAACATTTAAGGTAATGGGAAAGAATTTAAAAAATATACCACAAAATCATGATAATCAATAGAATAAAAGAATTAATTTCCTAACTGGTAAGATGATACATGAAATTTAGCCAAAAGATTAAGAATATTTTTTAAAATAGGAAAAAAAATATGACTATAAACACTGTCCAGTTAAGTGCCCTTAAGTCAGTTGTGACTCAAAGTGACTCTGTATAGTGTTTCCAAGGAGCAAGTTGGTGGGTTTGAGCCACTGACCTGGAGTGATAGTCCAGTGCTTATCCTCCAATAC